ACACACACACACACACACACACACACACACACACACACACACACACACACACACACACAGACACAATTAAGTGATATGAGGCAGGTGAAGAAAGACGCACCAGAGGCCAGTATGCATGTAGGCGTGTTATAATGTGTGCTCCAACACAGGTGTCACTGCGAAGCTTTCTTATCAGCAAGTGCACTCGTGTTAAGTCCGAGTCCACAAACAAGCACATTTGTCTTTTGTGTCGAGCATTCACTCCTTTTCTTCAGCTGTCACTGGGAGACAATTAATGTGCGCCCAACACGCGGGCTGTGTTGACTCACAACGTGATGCAGTGGCACATGGATTGTGGTCTCCTTTTGTTATTACCCCCATGTAAAGCCACGGCCGAGCAAACAGTGACTACACTACTCAGGCTACAGCAGCAGCACAGTGCGTTTTATTCATTTTCAATCAGTGTCAGAAATACATTCTTATTAGTAAATACAAATATCAATCTTCATCAGGGCAACATACTTGATTGGCTACATATACTGTATGTGTTCAATAGCTGATTACTGGTAGGTTTAGTACGCAAACTAAAGGAATAATTCCAGTTCTTGAAAAACATTGGGGTGGGGTCAACACAGAGTATATTATTAACTTGAGTTTTTACTGTGTTTTTTGCCTAGTGGGTTCACCTGCTTTCACATCCAGAATACACCTGGCTATAAGGTTCCCTTTGTTTTAGCTCTGTTTTGGTCTCCACCAAGTGCTGAAGGAAATATCAGCATCTTTAGCAGCTCAACTACATTCACCAGCGAGTTGCTAAATGTCACTGTCTGCTGTTTGGTGTTGGAAATGAAGAGTTAATCAGAGCTTCATCACAAAAAACAGCTGCATCTGAAAACAACTCTGATCAGACAGTGAACCAAAACGGTCAATTTGGGTAATAATTCCCATTTTTGTGTTGATTATAGCTTCTTTCAATTTAAAAAGAACATTTTCATGTCTTACAGTAAGATTTGTTTTTCAAAACGTATGGTAAGTTTGTTGTGGGAGTGGGTCAGAGCTGGACATTGAAAGCAAAATCCTTAACATATAACTGATGCTTAATTTTCTTTGAGCTTTCATTTACGATGACCTTGACATCTTCGTGAGGTTAATCAATGACCCAACACTGATGTTGGCAGCGGCTTTCAGATTTGTTCAGAAGCTTTCTGGTAACAGGAGAGGCAGTTTCGTTATGTGTCATCAGAGGAGCGTTCCAATAAATGCAGAAGTCCAAAAAGAACCAAAACTGAAAGCGGTTTAGTTTGACTGTTGACTGTGAATTCAAGGTGAGGTCTGTGCACGGTACATACTGATTGTGGATGATCCAGCGGGTCCTCATGAAGCCCTTTCTGGACCACTTGAACTGTAACACAGATAGGTTAGAGTGAGTCAGTAAACAGCAGCACTCCAAATGTTTGAAGGGCCAAACTGATAATTATTGATTCTCCCACATAATTTGTCTCATCTCCCTGACAGAGCAGGCAGACGGCCTAAAGCCCCAGTAGACTCATTTGTCCCAACAACATCTCCCTTCGGCCCACACGTACCCCTCCCTACACCTGCACACGGGTGCAGCCACACACAGATGCACTCTCATGCGTGCGTACTCACATCAGGCCAGAAATTCTTTGGGAATTTTTCTTTCTCCACTGTGGTGACCCCGTCCAGAGAGCCCACGTACTTGCTCTGCCCTGACACCGCTTTAAAATCCTTAACTGCACGGAGAGGGAGAGAGATGGGGGGAGAGAAGCGTGACATGTAAAAGAGTGAGAAAACATGCAAACAGCAATCAATAAACTGGTGTTAACCTCATCACAGCGGCATACGTGATGAGGGAATCTATAAGCGAGCCATTAGACTGCGTTTGGCGAGCAACAATCGGTTTGGGGCCACGCGGCGAGTGGCAGCTCCGGGATGTTTATGGTTCTTCCATAAGCTTTTCTGAGGAGCTTTTTCACACCTAACGTGACTGGACTATGCAGCAGGAAAATAACAGCTCCACTTTGAATTCAGGTTCTTTGCAAATACATGGCCAGGTGGGGCGGCCATCAGAGTGTCGTTACACACCGAGAACTGCTTTACTCTGGTTTACAAAAAACGACCAATCATACAAAATTGTGAAGTGATAAAAGCAGAGTGGTTAACATTGAGATAATACTACTACCTTTGTTTTTACAAAGACAGAAGGGGCATAATTCTATCATCAGTTAATGAATAATAAAAAAAAAAAAACCACATAATTAATGAAACATGTTAGAATTCAAGAAGTTTTTACCATTGAAGTCATATTGATAGATGTCTTTCAGTGTCTTGTGGATGAAGTACATGCTGCCCAGAGCCTGTGGAGAGACAGAAATAAAGAGTGTTCAAATTTTACAATATCTGATAAATGCAGCTGGGAGAGATATGAGAGTTATCGTATGCAAGATCAGTTTCAGTTAAATCACTTAGGAACTGAAGCATCTAAAAAAATGCGAGACAAATCACACAAAAGTGGAACATTACTCGTGTTATTTTTGTCAACACCTTTACTTTGAGACAGCTGCTGCAAGGAAAAGCAAGAAAATGACCAAAAGCTAAATTGTTGCAGTGTTGAATTTGGTGCGATTTGGACGTGTGATACCTTCAATACTAATAAACTTTAAATAAGCAGGTGACCGGTGCTCTGTGGCAGTGGCGGCCGTTGTCGATCATGACAGCGGCAACAACAATTGATCCTCCAGTTCCTGGTTCTGCATACTTAGTCAAGCACAGAACTTTGAATATGAACAGCTCTTTGTGCAGCAGCAGTGGCTTCAGGGTTCTGTGGACTGAGTCCTGCAGTCAGTCTCAATTACTGCAGGTCACTTTTATAGTTTCAGAAAGAGAGCTGCAACCAGCATCTAACTGAACCAGTATTTTTAATGTAGTAAATCTATGGAGGGCCTAAACACATGCACTACATATATTTTCATGTTCAAAATGCACATTAAAGTTAATACAGTTATTTAATATTTTAGACTTTTAAAGGAAACGATAGATCTGTATTTGACTTATCGAGAGAGGCTTCTCAGCCGTGATCCATCCACGTTCAAACATGGATCTACTGTTGAATTAAATATTCCCAGCTAGTCTGGGAATATTTTACACTCTTTTGAAGTGAAAAGTTGCAATTTGAAATGTTCGAGGTAACAACAGAATTATTTCTTAAATATTCTAAACACAGTAAAATGATGGCGTTCTAAACATGACTGTTATGGAATGTTCATAGACACTGCCTCTTGTCCTCTCTGGGGCATAGTGCAACAGGCTGTTGTGTTTGGGAAGCGTGAGAGTTAGGTGAAGGTCAAAGCCTTCACTCCCTAGACATCACAGATATGAGACTGCGTAAGCAACTAGAAAATACTGATTGTTTAGGAACAAGCAATCTCATAGATTAAATAATCTGTTGCGGTTTAAAGTGTGACTGCAGGAAAGCGGAATATATACACACTCCAAATAAGGTTTAATCTGTGTGATTTGTTTCCAGGATATCAGACAGCAGTTACTCTCCTCTGCCTTTCTTCCTGTTTGGAGACTTTAACTTCCGTCCGGACACACTCAGTCTAGTCCAGGTACATTATATATATATATATATATATATATATGTATGTAATATATAGCGGACAGAATATGAGAGAGCATCATGCACAGATGGATGAATTCTGATTTTCTCCTTGGCCAAGCTTCAATAAATATTTCAGCATTAGACATCAAAGGGCTCCTGAATGCTGTCTTCATTGATGAGTTGACCATTGATCAGCAGATTTTCCACAACAATGACCTTTATCAAATTGTAACTTCAAACTTCATAAAAACATTAGATATGTCCAGTTTTTTAAATTCAACAATAGCAGTTTTCTCTGCAGTGATTAACAATGAAACCAATGTCAGAAACAGGAGGAATCATCTCAGCTGCTGCAGTGATGGATTGAGTTGTTTTATTCCCCCATCATGTGAGTTGAATTGTGAGCCTTATATTGAACGATACAGTACGACACAGTTTATCGTTACTCTCCCAAAGACACATGAAACTTTAAAAAGAATTTAGCCGCACAAAGCCGACGCGCGGCTGCACAACACATCCACATGCTATCCCTCAGACACACACTTCAGCACCCAATCATCCCTGACGTGGTGCTGACAATTTTTAATGTACTAACTGCCTGCTCCACTGATCTGATTAATCACACCCCGCAAGATCAATAGAGACAGAAAATTAAAACAATTTAAAAGGTATTAAGCAGTAGGCTAGCTGTCTGCCAGTGCTGCTGCTGTGACTGGAGGAGAAGGTGGGGGGGCGAGGAAGAAAAATAAGCCAGGGCTCGAAGGGCTCAGGGCGTGACGAGCCACGGCGCCCCCCCACCCCTTCCCCATCCAGCCAGAGAATGAGAGATCTCTCCCTGAAGAGATCATTTATCTTCAGTGCCAAAGTCCTCCTCATTTAATAAAATGGAAGAGTCTCCATTGTCGGCTCCAGTGAGCAGCAATTAGTGACCAACTTGTCCAAACTGAGGGAGCGAGGTTAGAGCAAGGCCAGAGATCTTTTCTTCAGGTTGGAGCCTGACAGTTTTCTTTTGTTTTTAACTAAACCAAATAAAACACAAATATTTCTGAGGAGCAGGTCTGGAAAAAGTCAAAATATTATTTTAGCTAAAATGAAAACAATAAAAAGTACACTTATTATTCTTGTGGGAAAATCAAGGATGATATTTAGATAATTAGCTATTTTTTAAAAAACTAAGCGTGGCCTTGTTTATGTTGGATCAGTAACAACACTGTGCTCAAACCGTGCAGCAGGCACACATGCACACACTCAAACACAGATACACATTCTCCTCCACATACTCTGCCAAACACCTATCTTCATCAATCAGGTTTGTGCACAGTTTAATAAAAAAATATTGACTTACAAGTGATTTTTTATCAAAACACCATTTGTACTGGGAATGCATGCAAGTCAGCCCCCTCCACTCCTGCAGCCCTGAGAGGAGAACCCCCCAAACTCTCTCTTGGCCACATAACTGATGATCTGCAGCCAGGGGGAAACAAATTGAAAATCAATGCGGGTGGCACCGACGAAATGAGAATGAGGCATTAGGAGCGGCGGTGGGGGGGGGTGCAACCCTCTCAGGGCAAAAAGTGGAGGGTGCGAACACTCGGAGCGCAGGGGAAACTTAGTCCCAGCTGTCTTCCAACCCCCTCGCACACTTTATTTATCGTGCACAAATAGGCTGGGATCAATAGTTTTAATCTGGAGTTAAATGTATTGAGTTTGGCCTGGCCGGCCCCCCCACACGCACACACCTGGCCATTGACTTCCCCCTTTTTTACTTCACACACCTACAGTCTACAGATGCTGCCACTGACCCCTACTGTCACACATGCAGTGTGAGGGAATCACCTGGGAGGAGTGAGGGTTAATAGTTTAAGAAGTACGCAGCCACTTTTCTCTTCAGGGGAGGCGTTACCACCCAAACCAGCGCACAAACTAACACCGGCCCTGTTCACACTGGTATTAACATCTGTCCTGAGACATCTGTGGTCAGCGTCAAGCCTTTCTGTTCACTTCTTAAAATGCATCATGAATGTGTCTCCTGTTGCTTGTGATTGGATCTCACTCTGTATGCAAATGATCACTTGCTTCATTTCTGTTCACAAAGACCAAATTATAATGTTTTTACCCAGTTTAGAGATTACAAATGTGTCTGATGACAGTGTCTCTGTGTGTGTGTGTGTGTGTGTGTGTGTGTGTGTGTGTGTGTGTGTGTGAGTGAGAGAGAGAGAAACAGAGAGTGAGTGTAGTCAGGAGGGGCTGATGAATGACTGTGCGCAGACATATTTTACCAATTCAAGAAAAAGTATCGATCATGATGTGGTAATCAGTGTTTACACAGATAATGTGGCGGTGGCCACAAACAAATCAATGTTGGGTCACTAAGAATCACAAAAAAACATCGAAACAGGGACGAATCAGAGGACGTCAGCTGAGCAGTTGGTTCTCATTTGTGGCCCAGGACACATTTGCGTCTACCCAGCAGAAAGAATGTGGGCAGAATGTGGATGTCAGGACGCATCGGGGTGCATTCACACCTAAAATGAACACTGTCCATATCACTCAAGATGGGTGCTAATACCACATCTGAACGGAATCCCTGAAAAACACTTGAGGAACAATAACAAACACAATTCGATCATACAAAAGATGCTGAAAACAGCCTCATGCTGTGTGAGGTCACTATTAGAATCGACGTCAGGAAAGATGTGTCAGATCAAGGTCGTTCTCATGACCCAGGGTGACGTCCCGGCGGTTGTTATGACCAGCTGACTTCAGCTATGCAGACAGTCTCTGGGTGCCACGATATATGATGATAAAGAGATGTAAAGGTATGAAACAACAAACCTGTCTTTAAAATACCTCCCGCCGGTGCCAGGTCTGTCCCCACATTATGTAACTACTACAATTTTATTTTCATTGTGTATCTGAGATCTACGTGCCTTACATAAGAATTTGTTTTGCATACTTGACACAGAAGAAAACAGATTCCTGTTCGAGGATGAATCAGTTCCCCCACAAAATAAAACAAATGTCAACAACGCATTTTTTTCAGCGTAACTGTATCGCATCCATCTGCACAGGAACACAGACGTACTCACACACGCAGACACAAGCCCGCACTCTCGTTGCAAACCCTGTTTTACTCATATATCTCAAATTCACGGTCTTCATCAGGAAAAGCAAACTTTCACTGAGACATACAGGACAGTCTCTGTTTGATCAGACATCCCATAATACCCATTTTGCTTTATCAAAAAAAGAATTGTTTTGATACAGTCAAAATTACTTTGCGGTCAGATTACCAACATTTTATGAGCACAGTGTTTCACTCCAGATCTTTGATTGAATTTGACTGAATGTACATATCAGCCTGCACGTTGTCACCTTCAGTATCAGGAAGTAAACCTATAAATGTGTTAAATACACACATATATTCTAAGTCAACATTCTCTGATAGGGAAGTTAAAATTTGTGTTACACACCGAAAAGCAGTATTTATGACGCTTCACTGTGCTCTGCAACCAGCAGTCGCTCCAACGCCCACTGAGCACTAACATGGAGGAGGACTCCATCTAGTGGGAGCAGGTGTGAACTACTCCGACTTGTCTGAGGAATCAGTGTTTCTTACTGTAAAGCTGTCCTCTGCTTGGAACCGGTTGTCCACATAGATGCACACCCTGTTGTAGTCTTTCATTTCCTGGTTGGACTCAATGCTCCTGGAAACAACACAACAGATCAGTCAGGAGGCGACACCACAAACTAAAAAGCTTGTTCCTGTGGATGAAGAGTGGAAGAGATTAGACCATTAATCTGCAACAATTATTAGATTCAGATTCAGACTTTTTATTCATCCCACAGACGGGAAATGTTCCTATTGCAGTTGCATAAAGTACACATATGTAAAAAAAAAAAAAAGAAATGAAAATAAAATTTAAATTAAACTATAAAATTATAAACATCAGACAGAAACTAAGTTACATACATATAAATAGCAGAATTGCACTTGTGATATATATGGTAGAGATTAGGGTTATTTAATAGTTTTAAAGCATTTTTAAAACTGTGTCTTTTTGGGCTTTAGGAAAATGTGATTAGTATTTGAAGTATTTTAAACGGAACTAGTAGAGTGTGCACACTGCTGCCAAAGCCCAACAGTCCTCTTAAGCAATATGTAACTTTGGCCACTAGAGGTCTCTCAATCAAAACATTAACAAAAGACCAAGTTTGATGATGCTGTGAAGCAGCATGGGATCATGGGACTTTTTGTATTCGCCACCAATTTTCACCCATAATTTTCTCGGGTCACTTGGCTCCCCTGTGCATTTGGACTTTACTGGGAGAGCTTCAGTGACAGTACATGCAGCAAACGATAATGAATCTTTGTGATCCATTACAACTGACCAATACAAACAACGGAAGGAAAAACAATCGACTGACTAACTGGCTGGTCGTGTGTTCTTAAAGTTTCAGCCGAGAGGAGCGAAGCCACAGGCAAAGCTGCTATGATGCAGTTAAACACGACAAAAATGAAATGTCCTAGTCCCTTGAGAAAAAGTTTGGATTTCTCTGGTATGAACAGTGTTGAAACTATTTTGGATAATTTAAGCACACAAGTCAACAAAATAAATAACATAGGTCTGGTTGTTTTTAGACATTCTAATGAATTGTTGCATATTATATTACATTCAATCAAGCAGCACCAAATTTCACACACACACAGATCAGTCTTCTAAATGTACTTGATTTTTCAACAAGGTAAATTCTTCTTCATGAAAGAAATGACAAAACTGCCCTCACAGTCTTGCAATCAAAGGAAGTGAAAAGTGAAAAGGGTTTTTCCTTGGCCCATCACCCACAGGCCTCAAGTTTCAATAAAATTCAGTTCAGTGTTTGCGTAATCCTGCTACCAACCGAAAAACCGCAGTGAAAATATGACCTCGTTAGTTATGTATGGTAACAATGTTGGTCAGTAGAGAATAATCCAACAAATTATAACAAGTTATGTTTTTGTCAGAGCTTGCTTTTTTTTGTCCGTCTGTCTTTTAGTTCACAACAAATTGCTGGTCGTTTTAACGGATGTGGTATGGGACAGAGAAAAACACATCCCATTTTGGTGTGGAGCCAGATCAGGGAGGGGATCCAGGACGTTTTCAATGATTTCTCAGAGAATAATTCATGGATCTTGATGAAAAAATATCAGACATGTTAATGAGACTGATATTTATGAGTGTGTGCAATGTGGTGCAGATGCAAATAAAAAACAGGATCTTTTCAGATTGACTGCTGGGCCTTGGCAGAGGTATGTGATTGAATCAAAGACAACGGAAGGGAAGAATATGACTTAACAGACAACGTGGATCATGAATTGTGCACATGAATCTTACCTGAAGAAGTTTTCTGCATGGCCCATGTTCACCATGTAGTCCTTCCCTCCCACCTCCTGGAAGTGCAGGGCGATGAACTGAGGCTTGTAGCTGTGGACGGTCTGTAACAAAGCGTAGCGAGCAGGTCTCAGTGTACACGTCTGACATTCCAGAGGAATGAGGAGTGAAGAGGGTCAACGCCGTATGTTACAGGATGAAGTTAACCATCCATTAGAGGTCATGTGGACTTTTTCTCTAATTGAGTATCTGTGCTGGGCCCAGTGTGGCTTTGTTATCACTTATCAGCACAGTAATTGTTTTCCAGAGGCACATGCAGCAGTTGTTTCAGTTGGAATATCATCAGAGCGTTGATGCTGCCGCAGCCTACAAAAAAGTGAGCTAGAAACAACTGTGTGTGACAAATGTGTTTTTGCCTGAACTGGACCAGACTGAGAGCAAAGTCTAAGAGCAACATATGCAAATGTTTGAATCTATGAATTATTGATCCAAACCTTGGAGGCCAAAACTTACCTTATACAGCTCTAGTAACCATTCACTTTGGATTTCACCCAACTGTAAAATGACAGAGAGAAAAACAAATCATCAAAATCCTGCATTCAACCTGTAAGCGACCAAATCAAAGAGTAATCCATCTTCATTTTTTTATGGTCACTGTGGGATCAGTCAACAAAACATTAACATATCATTTCCGTGGAGAAAATAGAATTAATAATGGCAAACATGTCAGCAAACAGCTACCTAATACCACATAAAGCATTTAGCATTATAATTCCTTGCCCAGGAAAAAAAACTGTCAAAAACAAACCTGAATATATAAATAACACTTCTGATTAAATCATTTGAATTGAGTGAACATAGATAGTAACTTTTCCTTTAACCTCAAATCAGGAGACTAAAGACAAAGTAAGTTAAAACTTTGTTTTTTTTTAGAATCTGATTTCTTTTACAAGCATAATTCGTTTTTCTTCTCCTTAGTTTTTCTTTCTTTCTTTTTCTTTAATCCAGTGAACTTTTCAATTTCCTCTCATCAGAGGATCAATCTAAAGGTTTATGTGGCGCCGGCCATTTCACCCAAATACCTTCAGTACCTGCATCTACGCCATAAGGAAGCACCAGCCATTGCATACAGTGTTAATCTCCATATACTCTACATAGACATCTTGATCACCCCCTGGTGGCTGGCTGCAGTATAGGCCATCTGACATCCTAACCGTAACTAAATTAGCTGGTTCCTGCTAAAAAAAAACTTATTAACAATCAGTTCATCATACTGGTAAATTTCGGGACCATATAAAACCAAATAATAATAAAAGTATTAAAACCTTATCACAGCTTGTGGGTTTGAATTCCATTCCCAACTAATAGAAAGACAGGTCAAATGGAAAACAAGCTGTCATAATCTCAGACAGGTAATACTCAGGGCAGGGTTAATACAAACAATAAGGATTGTCTAGAAATATTATCCTGTTCGTTCCACTGGCTGTATGTTCCAGGAAGTGAAGCTGCACCTGTTTTAATCTGGCCATGGTCCACACACCAGGGATGGGTGTTGAGGGTGCGTTTAATATTGTATGGCCACTTTACAGTGGGGCATACTGTAAAACATGTATGAGAAAAGCAGCTGGCAGATAAACTCTACACACAGAAATGTGTCCAACCAGGCTGAGGGTTAATCTGCATATCCCTGTCTGTGAGGAGAAACAGGTAGACTCCCTCCGACACAGAAGATATTAAAGATGCACAGGGTTGGAAAAAGTTGGATATTTGTTAGTTTAAAGCAACGCTATGTAACTTTTACTAAGCTGCGCCTGCTGCAGTCACACATGGTGAATTATTCTGCAGGGCTCCATGTACGAGTGATGGTTCTCATGTAGTGAAAAAACAAAGCCTATAAATCTAATATTCCGACTTCATGAACAAAAAGCACAGCTACAGTCACAAATACACCAAACTCTTGATTTTCAATAACTTCGAAGTCTTTTTTTTTTTTTTACAGATCTACAGTTAAACATCACATTTGAACTTGCTGGGTCTGATTGTAGCAGTTCACACTGCGACTATCAAGAAAATGCGCTCAGACTGAGGGGGAGAACTGAAGTGGCACCTTTCCCCCAATTCCAACTAAGTGCACCATAAAACTACTTCCTTGTTTGGTAAAAAAAACGTAGCTGGGTGTTGCACCTAAAAATATTTGGTTGATGGACTGGCAAACTATGTGGGGTGTATTTCATCTTTTGCCCACTATCAGATGGGACTCGTTCAAGCCCCCCCCCTCAGCCCTCTAAAGGATAAGGGAAATATAGATAATGGATGAATGGATTGTCACATAATATCTGGATTTTGAGATTTCCTTGTGTGAATGTGATATTGTTATTCTCAGCAGTAATGTGGGGAAATATATATCCATTTTGACAGAGAAAAACTACTTGGGTGTGAAAAATATTTCTGTGAAATTAAATGGGTTTTTTTCTGATGGTGAACAAATTTATGACAGTTCTGATTGTCATGCCAAAGACTCCTCCTTAACTCTTAACTTTATCTTAACTTGCCTCTCTACAGTGATAGGCAGTAAATCAATTGTCCTGTCAACTAAACATTGTCATGTTGTTGTTCACACACCCGCCTCACACTTCTGAGATGCCAGGTGCATTCATCCCACCAGAGAAATGACTTTGCATAGTGTATTTGCATGATGGTTGCAGCGTGGGTGACTGCAGCTTGGCCACGGTGACCTGAGTGACTCCTCTTTAATTATTTGTCCATGAAAACAAAAGCGTTTAGAGAAGGTTCACACTACAATTACGTCCACAATGCAATTATGCTTTCTTAATAAAATATCAGAGACATAAGTGGACACTGCAAATTAGTAGAGAAAAACCTGACACACCTAAAATCCAGCAACAAAACAGCACATTCCTGCCATCTGTGGCAAGAGGTGAGCCATGTGTCAGACAACAGGTCCAGACACGTTGAACAGGAGATGTGGTGTGTGAGCTTTCCCAGCCGCACTGTTCTAAAGTCATTGTTACTCATGACGAATCCAGCCTGTTGATCTATTTCAGACTATGTTGGTCCAAGATGTCCATACACAAAATTAGCTATAAAGTATTTTGCAATACGAAGTTCCCATAAATAAGGTGAATAGTTGTCTAATCATTTGTAAAAGTAAAGGGAAAGAAAAATATCATCCCCTTAGGTCTATACGAGGATGCTGTGGTGCTGTGCCATTGAAATGTGGAACGGAAGCAGCCATGAGAGTCGAGCGTCTCGCTGGCTGAGCGGCTCCTGCACTGTGCAGCAAGAGGATTTATCCTGTGAGGTGCTTAAGGATTGGCCCTTATCCCGAAGTTTGAGTGAATGTTTAGCGTTTGTTTATAGAAATAGAGGGGCCTAAGTGAGTAGAAAGGCTCCACTCCCCTGGGGGAAGATACTCATCTGTTTACATATTTCCCACAATGGGATCTAACATGTTTTCATTGGAGCAAGATCGGGCAACCGGAAACATGGTCCGGAGCCAAATTTCCATGAGCGTAAGAGCCCCTCCTCCCTCCTCTGTCTAAAAGTTTCATCAAGCCAGTCAAGGCCAAAATACAGACCACTGGATACTTAGCCAGGCGTTTAGAATACAGGCAGATCTACTTAATCCCTTTTTGGAAAAAACTCAGAGTTGGCTATAAACTTACATAACAATATATGGTGATAACAGTGAAGCTGTAAACACAGTAAAGTACGAGAAAGATAAGTTGCTGATAATAATAGACAGAATGTGAGAGGTGATGATGATACAGGAGGGTCACATCTGGAGAGGGTCCCCACTGAGGGTCATGTTATAGATCTTTGATACAGTGGGAGAAGTTAAAAACTTTTATGCAGAAGTCACATGAAGTAAACTGAATTAAGACGTTTATATTTGCTGACCCGTGTTGTGACCTGTCAGATTCTGGGACTTTTAAAACCTTTATTTAACCAGGCACTCTCTTTCATACAGTATTAAAATAAGTCTGATAGGCAGCACCAAAACATTTTAATCCATTCTTAACACATATTTGAATTAATATTACATCCTGCCTGTTGCGCCACCTCTCACCTAACGCTCCTGAGATTTCTGTGTTGCTGTGAACACGCCTGATCGAAGTATCTCCTGTTGCGTAAAGAAAGTCTAGACCCAACCGTGCGAACGTTCTCTGGAGTTAATGTTTAAAAACGCCTTGAGTACAAGATAATGTAATGAACTAGATTCAATTAGCCAAATTGTTTGTTTTTCTGAAAATAAACTGTGGTAAATGACATAAAGCAAATACTTTTAAATGGTGTCTTGTAATTTAGTGTTACCTGTTTGTCAGACGTTTACTCAGAATTCTTTATAGTGTATATTTAGGTATCAACAGCAGTTTTACAATACAATATTGACAATTTTTTTGCCATGTGTTTACTGAAGATTCTTTAGAGTGTATGTTTAGGTAGCAACAGCAATTTTATATCATGTTATATTTAACTTTTTGCCAGATGTCTACTGTAAGGCAAGGCGATTGTATTAATAAAGCACTTGCCAAACACAGAGGTAGATTCAGCGTGCTGTAAATTCTTTGGTGTATACATTCAGGTACCAAAAGTAATTTAACAGAACTTTTTTTGTCTGGTAAATTATGGTAAATTCAACAGAGAGTGTTAACAGCATACGTATACGTACACACAGCAATTTTACCATATGTTATTGGCTACTTTTTTGTCATGTTTACCATAAATTCAAGAGGTTTTTTTTACGGTGTATGATTCACACCTGTCTATACATTATGATTGTTGTTACATGTGACCTCTCAGGGTCACAGGGTTTTGAAATGTGACCTCTCAGGGTCAGAGTCTGTGACATGCAGCATCTTTTCCCCTCCTCACTCTTGTTGAGGCTTAAGAACAGAGGCTGTTTGCACCTTGTTAAGCCCAATGAGACCAATTGTGATTTGTGAATATGGGCTGTACAAATCAAATGTGACTGATTGATTGATTGACTGATTGATTGACTGATTGATTGATTGACTGATTGATTGATTGACTGATTGATGGGACTGTGCATCTTCGCACTTGTAACTTTGTTAATGAGCGGCAGCGGATGAATACTACAGAGAACATGTGACTGACAGCTGACAGGAAAACTCCGCTGTGGCAGAACATGAGTTACAACGACGAGAGTGTGAGCGGAGCCCGCTGAAGGTAAAGCCCGGCCCGTGTGAGCCTGTCGGCGCTAAGTCTAATCCCCTGGCGCCGCTGCGGCCGGTGTAGTTTTAATGTCGCGGACTACTCACATTGTCGAAGAGCGAGCCCACGTTCGCGGTGACGAGCAGCACATCGGTGAACGAGTCCATGTCGGAGGAGAAGATCCACCTCCGCGAGTCCGGGGAGGGGGTGGAGGGAGGGGGGGGACTCCGCAGCAGTCGGCGGGGAGAGGAGCGCGTCCAGGCCCGAAGCAGCAGCGGCTCCTGCCCCGGGAGCTTACCGAGGCTTGACCCGAGAGAGAGAGAGGGGGAGAGGCGGGAGGAATCCGGTGTGGACGGTTCAAGCGCGCACCGGCATCTCACTGCTCACCCTCCTGCTGCTTCCTGATGTTTCCTGATGGCTGCTGCTCTTCATCACACACCGGAGTCATGTCCATCGTCGAGTTGCTGTACCAGGCTTCATGGATTTCCTCCTCCTCCCCCACCTCCTCCTCCTCCTGCTGCTCCTGGTTAATTGGACTAGTGGCTTCTTAGCAGACTTAGACCGGACGGTGCATCTGCTGCCTCCTGCACAAACCCCCGCTCACTGTACTGCTGCTGTGAAGCGAGCTGCTCCGCCCACACGTCTGTGGCACTCTTCCTCAAGTTCAGTCACAACCTCGACTCACATGCATCAAATGTTAGCTCGTGGACTTCAGCAGCCCCCCCCCCCATCGTAAAAAAAAAAAACACAAATCTGCAGGAAATCCCAGTCTCACAAACGTCTGCATTTGACTTTTACTGCACCTCGACCAACTAACCCAATATCTGAATCACTAAATTCCACTTTATTTTTACAGAAATAACCTGATATAATAACATGATCACCTGAGGCCATCTAAAATACCTGAAGGGCTCTAAACTCACCCCTCCACATACCACAGGCTCTGAGTTTCTGAGGAAGTCAGACATGTTTATCTCGTCAAACCCTTTTTTTCTTGGAATGAATCATCCTTTCGCTACAGGAGCACCTGTCTAATCTATTCTCTGGTTTAAATGCTTAAAAGCAGTGCAGATCTAAGCTTTTTCTAAGTCAAGGGTCATAAAGGGGCCACAATTTACACAGAGGGGTTGATTCATAGACTGTATATAAAGAGGGTTGATTATATGTTCAACATCCATCCACAATTCCTGATTAAGTAAGGTGCACGTTTAAAGGTTCCGTGTGTAAGTGGACCTATCGGCAGAAATACAAAATAATCGTAATGTTTCAACTAGAGTGCGATCAACTGAATTGTACGAGTTGTTTTCTTTACCCTAGAATGAGCTGTTTATATTTAAATACTTTATATTTACATCGGGAGCGGGTCCCTTCTAGGGAGGCCGCCATGTTTTTTACAGTCATCCAATCTGGACAAACAAGTTTTTATGACAACTGAAGGCTACCACAGGTTCTCTTTCATGTTTGGGAGGGGAGGGTGAGCTGAGGGGTGTTCAGCTGCAAAATGCAACTGTACAGGACTGAAAACATCACCTCCTTGTTACGAGAAACAAATGCACAGTCCCATGTCCTGCTCTGGTGTAAAGTCCTGCACCAGCAGACATTACATCAGTTTGGATGAGTGCAAACAGAAAACATTGTTTTGATGTGAATGTTGTTTTGATATACATGACTCTACTGTTGTGTAATTTTCTCCAGAAATGCTTGCTTCCTCCTACAGCTTCCAGTCACTACTACCACAGAGTAACCACAGTTGTTTTACATCACAGCTACAGTAGCTCATTCTGTAACTGTAAAACCCCTCATTCGGTGTGAGATGGTTCTGTGCCACCCCAGTGTCTGAGCTCCAGCCTGGGCTAAAGCCAAAGACTGCTACATGAGGGGAACTAACTCTTGCTCTCCATAGTGCTGCTAATGAGCAGTTCAACCATGGCATGCTTTACACAGCCAAGCTTTTTGAGCTGTTCTCCCTGCTTCCTCTGACTCCTCCTCTAAACACTTAGTGCTTTATTCACCAGCGACAACAGATCCATTTAAAACCATTGCAACAGAGATGTAAAACAATGCTGCCATGTCCATCACCGGTCTGGAAAGAAAGTTAAAGGTTGGGGGAAACCTCTCTGAAAGGAGACTGCGACAGTATATTTTTTGCAGGCAGGAGGCCCCGGGTTTGGATGGAGCAGCTGCTAAAGAATCAGCAGCAGGAATCCGCGGAAAGAAATGTTATTGAGACTCAGTCCTTTGCTTAGGGAACGAATGCAAAATAAATGGTTTTCAAAAAAGGTCCTAATCATCATGCCAGACTGTGCTTTTATAACGTGGGGCCCGCTGGGCAATCAATCAAACAGGAAATGTCACCAGAGGCCTGGTTTCTCCACAAAGAACAGCAAAGAAGCAGCAGCTGATTAAATCAGGGCTGTTTGGAATAAAAACATTTAAAATAGAAAAATATCAGATGAAAAACTATTTGATTTTGGAAAATGTTTGCAAGTTAAAAAAAATTACTTCACACAAGGTGGGCTAAAATGTTTCCAAATACTGCAGATATCATAATATAAATAATACATAACATATTTATTATAGTTTATCATAGTAAACTAAAATATTGTTCTAAATCTCCACCCTCACCTGCAGTCACGAGGCCTCGAGTTAAACACGTCAAATACGTTTCAAACTGATCGACAGTGAGAGAAACACATACAAACAAATTTAACAAAAAGTCAAAGGTAAAGTCACATTCTTGAACATTTATTTCAATAAACAGATTGGACATCATCTAAATGACTATCCCTGATAACAGCAAACTAGAGTGGTGAACGCCTCAGGAAGGAACCCAGGAGGCTGTCCACCATGTTCCTCAGCCTAATGGGAGAGTCTGAACCACAGCTGCACTCAGACTGTCCTTCAAACCTCCTTGAGGAGGCTGCCGAGGAGGAGAAAGACCACTGATGAGGGGCGGGGATGATTAAGACAATAGCTTTTAGAGTTCAGTTGAAATAAATTAGGCGAGATGTTAACTGCACTGACAGGAAGCCAATGTCAGGGAGTGTATTAGTATAAATGTGTAACCGTTTAAGTCAGGAAACCAATTGTGATGGTAATTTTTTCCACATTGGAACCATGCTAAAAGCATCTAAAATAAATTATTTATTAATGGACTATAATCCCATTAACTGGAACAGGAACATGTGCCTAAGAACATGAACCTCCATCAGTAACAGTGGGTGAACAATTTCCACTTCATAATGTGACGTTTTACACATTCTATGGAAAAAAAACAGACATGAAAACAGACAACACAACAAGAGCTAGTCTGCAACAGAAATCTGTTAGTGACCACATGTGTTTGATACGAGTCTTAATGCAAAAACACATAAAGCTTAGAATACAATTTGTTTCTCTCTTGGAAAAAGCCCATAAAAATATTTGAAATGTAACAAAATCTGGCAGAATTGCCCCCAAACCGTGGGCATGGGCCAGTCACGCAAAACCCCAACTCAGTCACAGGTTTTAGCTTTGGAACAAACAATTTTGTATATACGTCCCAGATATAAACAGGTAATGTTAACACCGTGTGGTACAAACAGGACGGTGAAATGAAATTAAAAAGTTAAAACTATCAAACAAAGACAGGATCTCAATGATAATAATAATAATAATAAGGTTTTCCCTCAAAAGACGGCCACCGAGGAAGACAATACTCATTTTTAATTTCTAATGCAAGCAAGGCTCCAGTCAAGCTGTTCCAACAGAAGGCAGCAGACTGAGAAAGACCCGTAGCCGCGATGCGAACTGAACATGCCAGGCTGAGGCAGTGACCGAGGAAGCCAAATGGAGCACTGTTGACATCTGAGAGGGAACTTTTCCAGTCCCGGAGTGTAGAGAGCGAGCCCCACTGATTGCCTACACACAGTCAGAGGTGCGTGTGTGGGACTCTGAGCCAGTCCTCTTCCATTTATGGGTTTCAGGAGCGACTGCGGTCTTCCTGGGTCCCCACCAGCATTTTACTGTACAGTTTCTGCTGTTCTTCTTTAAAGGTATCTTTTACCTTTCCTCGCTTCAGTCCTCCATCCCTGCAGAAGAGCATGAAATTAGTGACAAAGGATTGAAAATCAAATCAAACAGGCTGTGATTCTGACTCCGCAAACACACGATATGAGGGATAAAGATAAAGCACAAATGAAACACCATCCAACTGAGCAGTTTTTTTTACTTGACAATATCTTTGTTGTGTCAAAGGAATGTTGAATCAATTGCTGCTCTCAGACATTCACTACAGTCCGGACTATCTCCTGAAATTATCTGGACGTTTTCCAGAGTTCTTGGCTCGAGGTTCTCGTGACGCTACAGCTGGTGGAGTAACACCGAGCAGGCTTATTTTTTTGATTTGTCACCGCATAAAAAGTGCAGGTGTAACTGATTATGTTCAGTATCTCTATGTGAAAGTGATAGAATCCATTGAGCTGAATGTGTATTCTTACCACAGGAGGTCGACCAGACCTCCTTGCCTTGCAATGGCTGCCTTTACACGGTTGGCAAACTGCACAGCATCCTCTCCCTCCTGTTGGTGAAGATTGACAGTAATATTAAAACAAAGTGGCCTTACAACAGATTTAATAGAATTCACAGTCAACTACAAATTTGCATTTATTGTCGGTGGTTTGACTTTATGAATGACAGAGATACAAGCAGGATAAAGAAGTTCTGAGGAAAAGAAGACAAGCACTGAGTCACCAATCAGTTTTGAAATCATTGTGTAAGCTTGTGTACATGCTTTGCTTGTTGTCACAGCAATGAAAGCAAAGCCACTCCTTTGTCTTGTGAGTAAAAAAAAACTGCAGGGAAATGTAGAATTAAACATGGGGTCTCACCTCTCTCGACATGGGTGGGAGGTACCACACGCTGCAGACGATGGCCCAGCTGCTCATCATACGTAACAGGTAGTTCACCATGCCGAACTTGCTGCTGTTCCAGAAGGCATCTCCAAATCGGGGATCGTACTGCAAGATCAAGGATTGGTTCAGTGACTGCTGTTTGGTCTCTGTTTGACTTTAGAACCGGTACTCGTCACTGGTTATGATACTTGATGAGTTTGACACAGAATCTGAGGTTTACAAGTTTGAGCTCTCTACACAAGTTTGAGGTCCATGGTGGAATTGCAAATATCCACCTACAAGTGGTCCCAAACTTATAACACAGGTCCTGATGTTAATCACACAGAAAACTGACTCACAAGAGAACTGCTGGCAGCATATGCATTATCATGTGGTGCTCCAACAGAACTTTCTGATCGCCCTTTCTAGAAGCTCTCAAAAGAAAAAGATATAGCTCTCACCTTGATGGCCACAGGGTAGACTGTGGCACCAATCTCAAAACTGCCCTTCTTAAACATCATGACTGATGTGTTGTTAATGCAGGTACCTGAGGATTTAGAATAGTTGTTACAAAATAAATAATTTATAATAAAAAATGTTATTAAAGCTGGATGATTAGAGTGAGATTACAAAGTCTCTCTATCTGTATCAGATCAGTGAACAAACTCACCCTCTGGGAAAATCAAAATGGGCAGTTTAGATTTATCCTCTACGTGGTCACTCAATCTGCAAGACAAGAAATATGTAGGTTAATATAAATCTCATTTTGACATCCAAGAGACACGCCCATAAACTGCAGAAAGTTTTTTCATGATATCATTTTAATGTAAAAATATGAAAAATACTTCGCAATATCTAACTG